TACAATCATATGAACAAATCACATTTCTTTCACTTTAGTTCCGCTGGTGCATATTGCATTAAGTCGACACTGTTTACTTGACATAGTCTCGATTTGAAACGAGAAAAGGAGAAAAAAAAATTAATTTCTACGTCATGACATCAATGTTAAACCAAGTTGACATGAAAACGATTTGTTCACGTCAATTCAAGGTGCTTTTGTATGCGTTCTGGGCCAAACGAAGTGGAAATTCTCAATATACAGAATATTCTGTGGTACGTAGCAATGGGAATACGTCAACGTTTTTCGACACGATTTCGCCCTTTTTTTTCGACCGATTTACACTCTTTTTGTAGTTTCCATAACTGAACATGACGACGTAATCTTTTCGTAAACAATACCAATAACATAGTGCTTTCAAAACAACCACAATATTTCCAAAACAATCTTATTCGAGTTATTCGAATGCGAGCACAGAACGAAACAGTGTTCTTTCGAAAATGTACGCGTGAATGAGTGTAAGTTTAAAATCCATTAGGAATATGAATCTTACTCCCCGATCTCCCCCGCATTCTTTGGAAATAAAATTGAATTTGATCAACAATACTTGTTACTTTGTTTATCAATTTGAAACGTTTCCAAATGACATTTAATGAAACTTTAGCTGACCGGTTATCAGTACGATGTTCAAGTTCGCACATTTTCTGAATAACGTTCGAAATTTAGAATACACATTTTATAGAACTTTCATTCTGATTCAGGATTACATTCCTGAAGTTTGGAAAATTCTTTCGATTTGCTAGAGTTTTTTTAGGCAAAATTTCCCCACGTAATCAATTTTGATCTGAGTGGAATCAAAAAGGCCTCTTATTAGAATGGAGTTGTTGAAAAATCTTTCGATTTGCTAGGTTTTTTCTCTGGAATAGTGAAGATCTTTTTTAGCTTTTCACTTTCTCTGAGAATTTTTCTTCACTACATAGCATGGATTTCTTAAAATTACCTTCCTAGAAATTTGAACTCGCCCAGTTGATTTGAACTCGTCCACTCTATACTTAACTGATATAAAAAAAAAAAAAATATAAACACTTCTTCCACAATATAATGCAATTTGAAATAACATGTTAACAAGAAAAAGCAATTGATTTCAAATTGTTAATTGACGAATTACGGAATCCACTTACCACTGACGTGAAAGTGAAAAGTGCTTTTTTCGACAAATTTGGTATTTCAGATCGCATTAAATTTTAAAAAGTATCACTAATTTGCAGAATTTCTCTTCGTATATTTTATTTATTCTGAAATATCATTGATGGTATTTAATGCTTTCACATTGATTTTTCATCGATGGACATCGTTACGTCTTGAATGGAAGCACTTGAGTTCTTCACATCGGCAAATATCAACTTGTTTTAATGTTGATAGAAAAAGTGTTGTTTCTAATTTTTTTAGCATTTTCAATGGCAACGTCATAAAGTTATATATGCCGTCGTCTGCATGATGATATAAAATATTCACAATTCTGTGTGTACCACGAAAAGCATTTTTTTGAAATTATGCTATTTCTTTTGTGAACGATGTGGTATGTGTTTGTGTGCGTGTGCACGAGCAAATTATACAGATGAATTGTGAAAGTGTCGAAAGTTGCCGAAATGAAGAAGCTTGAAAAAATAATAAATGGAATATGGTGCAAATACTTTCAAATACATTCAATGAACAGCATCATCAACACAAAAACTGTGTAGAATGATCGACGAGCGGAGTAAAAAGAATATTCGTACAATTTTGAAAAAGTTATTCACGTGAAATATTCAAATGTAGAAAAGTTTTCGTACGATGACAAGACTACGGCCGCAATGAGATGGCAATGTTCCAAGTGAATAATAAATGAGAAAATAACATCTGTATTATTTATATAGGTGTAAGTGAAAGGGCGCGCGCGACCAAGATCGAAATGCTCACAGAAACAGAATGAAAATAAATAATTTCTTTATCAGCAAATAGCAAGTCATTTATGGTGACGACGAACTGGGAATCGATAAGTGAGCATATCACTTTTTTCCACCAAACTTTGTGAATTTGTATCGTTCTTTGTACTACCAAAAATCTCAACAAAAGTCGACAGAAGGAACCGCATTTGTTGTCGTTGTTGTTGTTGCTATTGTGCGGCAAATGCTATACAACGACATCAACAAACAGAAATGGATTGAAAAGAACCAAACAAAAACAAAGTGGTAACTTCATCGCATTGCAACATCGGCATTTCTGGCAAAAATAATAACATACAAGAAATAAAAAAATAATCATATCAACAACAACAACAACATTCACAACACTAAATCAATAAAATATTTATGCCACAAATGCAAACGAAACGTGAGCGAACACAACGCTGAACGAACGGATGACAAGAAATCCCCCGTATAAAATATGAAATAACTTGTCAACATTTCAATTCAATGGGGTTTACTCGTGTGGTGTGTTTATGTCTGTGTGTATTCGCTTGTAAAGTGGACAAGAGAGACCAAAAGAAGTGACACTACCGAGTGGACGGAGAAAGAATGCACGCCAGTCAAATACATCGGGGGAGCGATGAAAAATTATTTGTTTTAGTCACAACGGTGATATAATAATCAATCAATCAATCATTGTGTATGCTTTTTTTTCTACTTGAAAAAAAAAAATCCAAAATAACCGAAAACGTGTATTAACCGACGCAATTGGTTGGTATGACACATATATTTCGAAATTGACCGATGCAAACGGTATGTCCGAACATGTGCTTGTCGGTATTTGTATCATTTTTGATTTACAGATACACTTTACATTCAATGTTTTTGTGAACAGAAGGTTTTTGAATTGCAACATGGCATGCAATTTGTATGTATTTCGCGAACGCAATAAAAACGCATGTTATGCATTTCATATCATTTTGCCGACACTAGGCTACATAGACTACTATTTGTTCATTTAAATGAAATGAATTTCACTAGGAATTTCACCATCAAAGTAAACCGTTTTATGTGAGTTGAGTTTGTATCAGAACATTTTTAGCGATAACTCTATCTGTGTTTCATTTGTGAAAGAGGACCCAGAAAGTACGTCTAGCAAAAAAGGCACATAAAAATTGGAGTTATGAAAAAAGTTAATTACTAGTCATCATATTACAACATTTTGGTCGCTCTCAAAACTAAAGTTAATTTTCGGGCGAATCAACATTTTTCTTCAAAAATTGGTCCTTTGTACATTTACTCGACATTTTTTACTCGAAATACATATTAACGTAGAGTCGAGATCTTTACAGTACCGGCGAGTAACGAAAGTACACTAGTTTACGCAAAGGGTAGCAGCATCTCGACGTAAATGTCGAATATTCTGAATTTATCAAAAAATACTGAATTTTGCGTTTTTGGAGATAAAATGACTATTTCACCTGTAACGGTTAACTATAAATATGACTTTTTTAACCACTAAAGAGCAGCTATATGGCATAAAATTTCCTTGGACTTAGCAAAAATGATCGACTCAGCAATATCAGGTGATAAATTTTGAGACACAACATCAGTATGAACTTAGATTCATCCATTGTAAAGCTTTCAATAGCTTTGGTGCGATGCTAAGTGCGATGTATATAGCAGAAAATACTAGAACTTGTAAATTGCAATAAAAACTTGGGGGGAGACACGAATTAAAAATCCGGATTTATTGGAAGATATTAGAACTTCCCATATGAAACCTTAACGCTATGCGCGTCAAATCGACGTTATTCGACGCTATTCTATGTGTATACATATATGAAATTGTACATTATGTTTTACAGTGCCTGCGCCGTCTACTGTGATTGAGTCGCAATTCAATACACAAAACATAACAGGCAACGCGCGCACATAAACGGAGTTCGTGTGTTACTGTGTATAAGGCCGCATGCTTGCACAGCACTGTAAAACATAATGTAGAATTCTATATACACATGGAATAGCGTCGAATAACGTCGATTTGACGCGCATAGCGTTGAGGTTTCTTTTGGGTTGTTGGAGACATTAGTGCACCATTTATAGAACGAACTAATTTCGTAACTATATTTTATAGTTCTAGTTTTACCTCGGTCAAAACCTTTTATGAGAAAATTTATCGTCGTGAGTAAACCAAATGACATAACTGGTGACGTTTGCTGTGAAGTTTGCTCCACTGTCAATGCAAAACCGAAATTTATTAGCAAAACGTCACTGTATTTGTAAGCTTATTAAAGAATATTATGGAACATTAGAGAATATTAAACGGACATGAGGAGAAATAGGTAATACTAGAAATCGTGCCTTCCCCTAGAATAAAAAGCTTATCGATGATGCCTTAGCTCAATAAAAATTGAAATGTTTTGCGACTTACTTTATTCCTCAACAAAACTGTCATTCAATTGTGGCTTTTTTTGATAAATTGATAACGTAGTAATTCGAATAGATAAATTAAGTACTATTGGGAGTTTGGGTTAATCTGTGCGGTTTATTTCTTCAAAATATGAATTTATTACATCAAAAATTGATTCGTATATTCAAAGTATTGTCTGTCCATTGTTAGGTACTATTTTGGAAGGGTTAGTGATTTTTGTCACAAATAAACATCAATAAGGTATGCTTCAAGACTAAACGGATAAATGAACATAATTAATCAGTTAGGCTGTTAGACTGCCTTACGGACCGCACGAATTAACGGAAACATCCAATCGTATTTTCACATTTTCAATGTTGCAAAAAACATATCATCTTATTTTATAAGAAACCTTTTCAATTGTATAAAACAGTTATAATAATGTGTAATCAAATTAACGGATTTATCAGTTCTTAATTCAAAACATTTTTTTACGATATTAAGCGAAAAATGAAGATGTGATGAAACGAGACAAGCAAGATAACAACAAAATCAAGCACATTCACTTTGATGATGTGATTAGGTTGTGAGAACCACTTCGATAGTAAAACGTTTTTTTTAAAGAAAAAATAGTTAATTTTCAATCGCTTTGTTTTCAATTCTGAAATGGAATAAATACAAGACACTGTGAAGTTTCGAAATATTAATATTTTTTCAAAAAATGTCCAGTTCAGTGGAACGAATTGTAAATGGTAAGACATAATTTTATCTAAGTTTTTTGTTTTATCTACTTGAGTTTTCCTATGTCGTTAAATGTGTCTGTTTCACATTTCTAGATACATGTGGATCACAGAATATATCGAAAACATCAAATTTTGAAACAGCTGTACCATCAAAACGAACATACCCAAAACGTGTATTTCTGATCATTGGAAGTCAGTTCTGTGATTTCTTCAATTACTATGGTTTGAGAGGTAGCACTGCGCTAATTTTATTTTATTCAGTTATAATTTCCGAATATTTTTTTGTAGCAATTTTGGTATTTTACCTAAAATACAAATTGGATTACACTGAAAATGATGCGGCTGTATTGTTTCATGTGTTCACATTCATGGGAGATTTATCAAACATATTTGGTGGTATTATCTCCGACGTATGGCTGGGAAAATTCAAAACCATTTTTTATTTATCATTGGTCTACTTAGTCGGATGTATTATCATTTTGATCGGTGCAATTCCAGTCATTGATTTTTCTCCAAAACTAACTGTAATTGTGGGTTTAGTTCTGATTGCGATCGGTAGAGGTGCAATTGAACCATGCATGTCAGCTTTTGGTGCTGATCAATTTAAAATACCTGAACAAGCAGCCAACGTTGTCAAGTATTTTTCAATACTTTATTTCACATTCAATATTGGTCCACTTATTTCAACTGGGCTAACTCCAATTCTAAGAGAAGATTTCCATTGTTTTGGTGAAAATGATTGCTATTCTCTTGCGTTTGGAGTTCCTGTTGTCTTCTTGATTATTTCCATCCGTAAAATTTCTTTTAACCACATTTACAAAGGATATGTAATTCATTTTTTATATAAATTTTGCAGTACTTGTTGTTATGGGTAAATCATCGTACACGCACATTGAAACCTCATCAGAGAATATGATCGTGCGCATATTTAAATGCATAAAAGTAAATTATGGTTTTGAAGTAGCAGTAACATTTGATGCGCTGCTCTTTAGCAATGATGCGTATTTTAAATATTCTTTGGTCTTATTTTTTAGCATGCCATATCCACGAAGAGGATCGAAAAGGAAGCTAAATCGCATAAAAGGCTCCTTGATTACTCCATACAAGAATACGGTGCTCAGTTAGTTGCTGACATAAGGATCATGAAGAGAATGTTAGTGCTTTATTTGCCAGCGTCGTTCTATCGAACGTTGTCGGAGCAACAAGGAAGTCGTTGGACCCTGCAAGCCAATAAAATGAATGGTGACGTTGGGTTTTACATCATAAAACCGGACCAAATTCAAGCATTAAATCCATTATTGGTTCTTATACATATTCCACTATTTGAAATCATAGTTTATCCAATGCTAAGTAAATTTGGCATTCGACGGCCACTTCAAAAAATGACGATTGGCGGAATTTTTGCTGGAATTGCATTTTTATTCACAGCATCCGTTGAATTCTGGATTGCCTCGTCACCTGAACATTCCGTAAGCATGTTGTGGCAAGTACCTCAATATGTATCTTTGGGAATGGGCGAGATTATGTTTTCCGTAACCGGCTTTGCATTTTCTTATGAACAAGCGCCAGCGAGTATGAAATCAGTCTCACAATCTTTTTGGTTTTTGACATTTGCATTGGGTAATTTGATTCTTGTTTTGATTACAAAAATGAATCTTTTCGAATCACAAGCGCACGAATTCATTATGTTTGCCGTTTTAATGTTCATTGATATGTTCATATTTGGAATTATGGCACGAAATTTTGAACGTATGAATTCAGATGTGACGATAGCAAACGATATTCACAAAAATGAAATGATCGAATCAACAATATCAGGTGATAAATGGTGATAAGCTTAGAGACACAACATCAGTATGAATTTTTATTCTGCCATTGTGAAGCAATTCCACAACTTTAGTGCGATATAACCGAAACTAGCAGATAATATTCATTGTATTAATATTAAAGAAGAATTTTATTTTGTTTGTAAATTGCAATAAAAAAACTTATCGGCGATTGCATGGAACTGTGTTTGTCACTTTCTTCCCCGCGTTTTTATTTGATAATATGATAACATAATCGAAGAGATAAATAAAAGCTTCCAAAGATAATATTATCAAAAAGCATATGAATAGAGGAAATTTGTTTTAATCTGGATTGTATTGAATATTTTGAGTAGGCTTGTCGGATTTTTCCGCTCTGGGACTTTTGTGTCAAATGCACCTCACGCGCATGCTGTGATTGATTTTCCATATAAATCGGCTTAAAAATGATGTTTGCCTCCACAGATTTATTTTGGAGCGTGATAATGGCCTGAATTATGGCTGAATTTGGTGAATTAAGGTCCAATCTCAATTTCCCGCTTGCTAACTCTTCGGGCGTAGTACAAAATTTCGACGGAATTGCTCATTGAAATATCGATATTTTTCTATATGAAAAATGACTGATTTTCCATATAAATCGGCTCAAAAATGAAGTTTGCCACCACAGATTTATCTTGGAGCGTGATAATGGCCTGAATTATGGCTGAATTTCGCTCAAAAATGAAATTTTTTTGTGGAATTACCCCTAAATTCTATTGAAATTTCTTCAATCTTTCAGAATGTTACTTGTCTGTGAAAAAGATACCCTGTTCAAAGTTTCACGTCATTACGATATCATACATGCATTGAAAAGTGTATCCAAATTTATTTGTATCGCAAAACTAATGTCTGATTCAGTTTTCTCATGAATTCATATTTACGGTAAAAGATATGTAATAAAATGCAAGTTCTGGATCACAGTGCGGAAAAGTTCATCTTACAGATGTAAAATATTTTATTTTTGCCATAAACTATCTAGCGAAATTATCAAAACTTACAAATGGCGCTTATGCTTGGATACCTTTAATGGTCAGAGACAAAAATCCGACAAGCCTCATTTTGAATGTTTGAAAGAACATGACAAAACGAGTTAAATAAATTGAATCGTGCTTCTGTTGATTATGAATGAAAATGAATTTGCAAAATATTCAAAGTCATATCATCAGTTTACAGACAACACCAACTTGGTCGTTTCGACCTTTTATCTTAATAGTTGCACACTCTTTGTTATTGTTAATTGTTTGTTCTATGTTGCTGCAAAATAATGATATTGCTAATCACTAAGCAAATGTGAACAATGAAAACTATTTTAACTCAATATATGAAGTACATAAGCAAGCATCCTAACGTTCACATGCACTTAAATCGGAATAAAATGTATTTTGTTGTTCATGTTTAACCTGTTATTTCTGCTTCACTGAGAAAATATCCGTGATACTTGAGTTTTGTTTACTTATACAACAATTTTACATGTGGTAACATAATTTGAACTACTATCACTTTGTGAAAATTAACGAGATAATCGTTCTTCGTGTTATATTCAGCGCACCGACTTGAATTGTCTTCAGACATTTCGTAAAGATAATGGTAAGATGCATATTATCATTACATATAGAGTTGAAAGAAACCGGGGTAACATTTACACATACTCTCACTCTCTCTCTGCGTAGCAATTCTTTTTAGTAAAATCTAGATAAGAAAATGTTCAATGAACGTCTGAGTGAACGTGTACACACTATCCCGAACGTCTAATTTCACTCGGGATGTCTGCCAGATGTCGTATTGAAAATCGAAAGACATATTTGGAAATTACAACTGCTTGCATTTCTTATAATCAAACTCGAAAATGCGCAATTCAGATTGCAATTATTTACCACCGTCGCTTTTAATTGATAGTGTAATGTGATGTTGCATTGTTTTTTCTTCTCTTAAAATCCAAAATATTTCACACTGCACATCACCAACTAAAAATGGGACACATTCAAGTATACAGTGAGTATGATGATTTACATCAAATTCAGTTATTTATAAGCGAAACCCAAAGCACATGCATTTTGATGCATTGCGTATCGGATGACGATTCCCCGAAAGAATTAAATACAATTTTTTGTATTAATTATAGTAGCGACTCCCCGCTGGATTTCGTTGATACAACCCGAATTTCAAGTGAAAAACAAATGACTCTATTCTACCCAAAATGCTGTATACATTTTTATGATTCCATTGTAAGAAAGTTCAAGCATAATTCTTACTTATGTGTTCCATTTCATATATAAAAATTTACAAAAAAAAATCACGTGCACGCTCCGAGTAAATGGTATGATGTGAAATGAATGTGAAGGAAAAAACCTCGCAAAACTAGCAGGAAATCCTGTGCATGGTGCGAAATTAATATGCTCAGGAATCCGGTGTCTGAAAATTTCGTTTGAAATCTCCTCAATACAATTTTTTTTCCGCCGTGATTTTGAAACTATTTACTTCATTCAGTTGGGCACGGAAGAGGGACGACGAAATCGAGTCGGTTTTGATAATCGCGTTCAAAACACAGAATAATAGTAACTCATGCATATACATAGACTGGTTGGTACGTCCTGATTTTGGAATGCAAATGAGAACATGTGAACATTAAAAAATAAAATGAACGCTAAAAATTGCGACGAAAGAGAAAAAATCGACTGAGATACGTTTGAGCTTTTGCATGTTCATTTTGCATTTTGCTATATTGCACACAAGTATGTGCAATTGCGGGAGCAAAGTAGAGTTAAGTGATAACTTTCACGTACCATCTGTGTGCCATAAATTAAAATTATTATTGTCGGATTTTTTTCCTCAAACATTTTTATACTTATTTTCGTCCCATCCGTTCAACGGGAGAAAATTCAGAGATTGGAGCTTAATAGTTATTAATAGCCGGAAGGATTTCTTTCTCCTTTTCATGTTACACTTGCTAATGTGCCTTCTCTAGTCTCTCATTGTTTTTTTTTTTTTTTAATTTTTGTATGTGGATTCGTTTGTGCGAGAGTCTTACGGTTCGTGCGATTGCCACAAGTTTTCTTCAGCCCTTTGGCTGTACAAACAAAATGAATGAAAATGTGCGGCTAATTGTGGAAAATAATATGTCTCCATGTGCCTAACTTGGGCATTAATTACTTCATGTGAAGCAATTATGCGTGAAAAGCAATAATTGTGCGAATTTATGTGAATGAATTAATGTCAGTTATTCGGTTGTGCGATTCGATGAACAAACAACAAATGGAAGTTGCACCGTACTGCTTTCTCTCGCTCTCACTATTTCTCGCTATTTACATTGTGTTCGATGTAAAGCTCAACACAAATGAATCACATAAAATCGAAGAGAAATCCGTACATCAACAAAGCCCCCCCAAAAAATCTGCGCGATGCATTTGGAAAATTGAAAGTGTGCAAAACGACTCACCGCACCAGTGTTAAACCGATTTCGAACTTCTAATGCACTTTGTATGTGAAATTATAAATTTAAATTCAATTGCATAGCATTTCGAATCAATTTATTGAATAAATATATATGCGAAATAATAGAATGTGCCGCATTCAGTATGTATTTGATTATATCAAACACAACGAAATCACGAATAGGATAGAAACTGAAACAGGAACAATCTATGAAGTGTACGCCAAATATTAAAATTATTGAATGATTTATATACGTAAAATGCTTCGAAAATTGTATAGGCCGTACACAGAGACAGATACAAGCACGCACAAAGTGAGCTGTTTAGCACTCTCTCGTTCTCTATTTCTCTCTTTCTTTCTCTCACCGGCATATGTTTGATAGAGATTTGCATAGTATAGCACTTGAATTATGTATTTTTGAACAAAGTTGAGCAGATTGCGATTGTGTATGAGTGAGTGCATGTGTGCATGTGTGTGTGTGTGTGTGTCGAAAGTCCATTGAATGTTGTTCATTTCGTTGCGACTAAAGGAACATGAACTGTTGCGCTGGCAATCAGACAAAATAAACAGAAATGGCAAGTGCATCTCGTTTTCATTTTTGTTCACATTTTCCATCAATCCCGTTGTTCATGCGAAACACAGAGTACAACGTCAAGCTTTGATCTGAAGCAACGAGAATGAAAATATTTGAAGAGGCAGTCCATTGTGTGCCGTAATTTTATTTAAATATTGAATTATGAGCGTATTTATTTTAATATTATAATATTGGCCGCAAATTAGTCGATTGCGGTACCGCAAAATATCGAAACAATAAACCCAATAAACAAGTTAAGCAGCGTCAGGTCACCACGATGGAAACACACTCGAAACACATTGCCATCGAAATTTGCTGAGCAAATATTTGGAAATATAGCATAGTGCGCCACATTCACCAACCAAAAAAAAGGAACATAATCATTCCATGAATTGCATGCTAATATTTATGTGAAACGCTTTTATTCGAAAATATGAAACGGAATCGAAAGTCAGAGCTTAAGCATGTACTTATTTATTTTATTTTCGACTGATTTCTTTTCTATTCTCAAGTTTTTTGCATTTCATTGAATAATAAATTAACGGCATTGTCAGCCAAATTACATATTTGAAGTACATAGGTGCACTATTTAATGATATTCAAAGTCGATCATGATTTTATTTCAAATATTCGTAACAAAAAAAATATGAAAAACTAACATCATTTCATCTCTTTATTTATCCCGCACATTTTTCGTAATTTGAACGATTTTCATCCATATTTATGTGTGCCTCAAACATGTGTGTTACGTATAAGAGAGCAAGATTACGAGAGAACTACGAGCACCATATATTCTCACAAGATCTTTTAAATGATTCAGTGAGACTAGAAAAGATCGGTGCGCTACGCCGAAGTAGACTAGTTAGTATTATAAGAATGAAAGGCAAACTATGGAGTAGATTTCGTGCATTTTTTATAAGTTGCAATGATTTTTTGCTCGGTTATTTTCATTAAAATATGAACTCTTAACGTTTTTACCTGATTCGTTTTATCTTCTTCTTGTTGGTCTGCCGAGATTCCTGTGTGTGTGTGTTTTTTTTTGTCCT